ATCAACACACACAGACAGAGGGACCGGTTGCCTCGGTGCTACAGGCAGTTGTGCGGTCCTTTGGTCAAGTGGCGACGACGGCAGGCGAAGTGGTGATCAAGCAGCCAGACCCGTAAATCTTAATTCACACTGGGCCTGTGCGCAGAGAGAAATCGAGACAGATGAGAGCGAGAGAGAGAGAGAGAGAGAGAAAGGGAGAGGCAGAGAGAGCAGGCAAAGGTCGCGACACGTGGATAGAGATTTCAGCACTATGGCCCATCTAATCGGTTGCATTCAAGCGTACCGAGCTCGCTGCTCCGTGAACTGCGCCTTAATCGATTGCCAAATCGATGATCTCTTTGGCCCGGAGCACTGAGCCTGTGAAGCTGGTGCCAGACCGTGCCACTCGAGCCCCAAGACGAGTGATCCGGCCTGCAATGGGACCTCGGGAAGGTCGACGTTTGCAAGCCCACTACGATTGGCGCATTCCGTGGCCTTCAAAGTGACTCGACCAATCACAACTCACTGCCAAGCCAGTTCGTCTTACTGCCTATCCGTCCCCTTCGCCGCCGCTCCTCCGACCTGCCTCACGCCTGGCCGCCATTATGCGCCTGCCCTTCGTCCTAACTATCTTGTTGACAGTGCTAAGCCGCCAACACTAAGTCGGCTGCCCGTCTGCCTGTCTGTCTACCTGTATGCCTGCCTGCCTGCCCGTCTGCCCGACTGCCAAACAAATAACTCTCTCACAAGGAATATTGGGAAGACCGGAAAACCTATCATATTAGTGGTCAACATGGCATAAGTTATCAGGACCGATATTCACATATTCATCGACTCGCCTGGCTCCCAACTGCAGCCTTCTGGCCATAACCCTCTCCCCCCTTTCCACTGTTATTCTAAATAATCTAACTGAACCCGCTCTAGCATAAGTCGTGAGTTGTGTTCACCCGATTTCGTTTAAGGTGATAAAGGACTCGTGGTCGATTTTTGTGAGGAATTCAATTAAAAACGTCAGCTCTACTTGCATCATTGTGGGCAAATCAACTACCAGTCCTTCATCACCTTGCAAGAAATAAGGTGAACACAACCAATATATCTGATTTACTGGTGGTCTCGAAGACCTATTCATTTATTATAATTTGGTATATCTAAGCGGGGAAAGATGTCTCGTGGACTGCATCTACCTGAACGTCATATTGAAGCCAAACGACGCATTACTACGGGATTCAGCTATCGTCATCTGGTGAGCTCAGCCTACGAATCGCTTCTTCATGCACTTTCGGACGAAATGAAGGTCTCCCCAACAGTAAATTTATTCTAAACTAACTTAAACAATGCTTATCCAATCTAATCGAAATACTGCCTAATCTAATCTAATCCATTTTTTCTATTCGTCTCAATTCTGCTCTATTCTATTGTAGTTTGATATGACATATTGTGGTTTAATCGAATCGAGTCAGATTTAATCTTATCTCATTTAGTGCAATCAAACATTTTAATAAAATCAAATCATAACTATTCTCAGCTATTCTAATTTGATACAGCGTAAGCAATTCCAGTCCAATATAATTTATTATAGTCTAATTTAATTTATTATAATCTCATCTAACATATTTTAGATGATATAATATAATCCCAACTGCTCTTAGCTGAGGTAATACAGCTATGCAATACGCAATTCTCGAAGCCAAGGTCTATTCAGCTGTATATAACTGAATTCGCCTTCCAGTCAGCTTACCTGACCCATGACTAGAGTCAAACTAGTAAAGATTGGTTGCCATTAGCTACTTGTCGCGGCACAACTATCACATTAACCAAGTAGATATGCCGTTGCTGCTTTGTATACCCGAAAAAAGAATCTAACGAGCCTTAGTTGCTAAAGTGGATTTAAAGACTGATAGTTGAATTTTTGTGACATGAGATGAATAGTCCTCACGGTCCCATTAAAATTCATTTACCCCCTCCCCAAAACAGCAATTAATGCCAGGTCGTGTGTATCCTAGCCAGGTGGCCATTCCATTAAAGAGTCACGAGTGCCAGTGGGTTACAGGGCAAATGTGGCATTCAAGGCAAGCCAGGCTCCATTAAGGCAAAGTGAGGCCTTATTATATCATCGAGGGAAAACTCAACCATCATTCACTAAGTGACTTGAACTCATTTTCACAACTTGATCGTGTTGTCAATGCGACTGAGTTGGACGCTTCTAATCAGAAGTCCTCTTCTGAAATAGTTATGATAATCCCCAGCATCGGACTTGGTACACTCCCAGACTTTTGCCGGTATCTTCAGTGAGTCTTGCCCTGTCTTAGCGCTAAGCTACAAATCGTCAGAGAGATAGGTGACATTTATTTTTAGTTGTTAAATAGGTTTTTATGTCTACCAGTATACCATATATATGAGGGGTATTCATTCTATTTCGTAGTCTCGATAACCTACTTAACAACTAAAAATAAGTAATATAGTCGATTAGAAGTTGTTTGACCTTGTTTTCGCAACTTGGTCATAATGGTAGGAAGACTGATAGAAACG